CCTGTTCAAATTTGAATTTGACCTGATCTGGGCCGTCGATCGGATCGATCCGACGGCCCAGGTCGGGCCTTAAAGTTTTCAATTGTTTAGGCCCAGGTGGCCTCGGATTGTGGGGACCGAGGTCCAGCAGGGCACCTCACCTCTACCACCACCCTGCCAGGCCCCCATCAGGCCCGTAAAGGCGTGACCCCTATTTTCCGCAGGGGCCGGACCTCTGTCGGACACCGGCCCGGACGTCCGATTGAACAACCTAGTTTAAAAAATATATTTTTTCTTTTTTTATTTTGGCCCGGGCGGCCAAGTGGCCCCTGGCCACTCTGGTAGCCTAGGTTGAACCTGCCTGATGTGCAGTGGTCACGTCACAATGACCTTTTCGAATGGGCAATGCACATTTCGGGCACTGCACATTTTGTTGTCTGCAATGGACATCAAATCCCATTTTTTAGGTCCCAAAGACCTACCAAAGACCTACATATGATGGTAACAAGTACTAACAACTATGGTTAACCCGATTAACATAACAAAAGCATAATGGCACACAAAGCCACTTTGAAATAGTACCTGTGTGCTTCGCTAATTTTCGAAAGTGTGCATCGCTATCCCCTTCTTCTTCATAGCCTTCATCTTTCCGAGAATCCTGTCTTTTCCGGATCAAATCTTTGAAGGTGGGGGGGAGAGTGAAGAAGGGAGAAAAAAGGGGGAAAAGGAGGGAAGAAATTGAAGACAAACGGCTTGACGAGCGTGCAGACCCATTCCCATTGAGTTGTTCGGCGAATCTTCGCCGTACCTGCCTCCACTTTCAGAGCAACCACGAGAGGTTTCCAAGTCATTATCTCGTCGAATCAGCATTAATCAGCTAGGCTATATTCCCCGCCGCTCAGCACATTTCGTTTTCAGATGATGTCAGTCGAGGAGTTCCACACTCCACCTAAGGGAGTCATTCCACTCCACTAGAAACAAGCCTCCACTAGAAACAGGCAGAACTAACATCTTATGGACGTTGTCCACAGCTCAGATGATATACTGAGGTGCAATTTTAGTGCAGTGGAACCAAGGCCGAAGTTTCTGCTTGAGACAGTTGCCTGCAAATGGACCTCTGTAACAGTCCTGCAACTTATCCTCTGAAGCCCATTTTGACCATCAGATAGGCATACCTTTACCCATAATTCAGCATCCACACAAAGAACAGAGGTACATACAGAACACAAATCTCATAAACCCTCCACGCTTCAAATCCTGTTCAAGGAGGCGGCATATGTGCACGCGTGCGCACACACACACACACACACACACATGCACCCACCCACCCACCCACACACACACACACACACAGACAGCGTAGTGAGTCCTTGTCCATCAGTCAAATGCATCCTGGGCAGACTGTTGGGGTCCAACCTCCTGATGAGTGGGTGAAATCTGATGACGCAGTCTTGAACGATCATGCTTTTTTTTCATGGAGTTGTGTATAGTGAACATGACTCTACACACACACACACATACACAAAAGTACAATGTCGATGCATTCGTAAATGCCACACCTCGGTCACAAAATTTGTGGTTGGGGCCAAATGTACACAGTAGAGGTCTGTTCGGCAACAAGCTGACCATTACAAGTGAAAGGGGATTGACTGCATTTCTGTTCGCACTCCTACCGCCCACCTCCTCGCACACACACACGCAACACACAAACACACCTTTCTCTACTGGCCATGATGTGTTTCTTCCATGCACCCACTACATAGCCACTACCATAGTACCATTTCAGACTAGTGTCTGCTCTCCTCTGAGGGAGTTAAATCGTACGTGTATTGTAAGAACTGCATTGTCGACATTTATGGTACACGAAATGAAACGCTGCTTTCCCCTTCTGTCCACAGTCGTTGCACAGAATGTCCTGAGTTCTACTCCTGTACTCCTCTGGGAGAACCTCCGCTTCCAGAAGCGCATCCAGCATGCTGAAGTAAACTGCCATATCGCCCATGGATTTACAGCAGATGGGGCAAGTGTAATGACTGTTCGTGTACTCTCGGTAACACGCGGAGTGCATGAAATGCCCGCACGGCAGAGACCTAACAGGAGTGTTGGATGTGAAGAGAAAGTCATGACAAATAGGACAGTCAGATTCCAGCCCCTTCTCGCGACAGGTGTGAACGGTCAGAGAAACAGACATACACGCATTACACTTCATGCAATGGAAGAAGTCGATGCCTAGACCCTTCCCCACGCGACACAGATTGCAGAAAGGACAGTGATATATATCCTTTACGTCGTCGTCAAAGAACTTGCATACGTCGCAGTAGTAACGTGCCATTCGTCGGCCACTGCATGATGGAGTAGCACAATACTGCGCAACAGGCTGAATTTCTAAGCACTCCATACACATCATCTCTTTCGTAGCATGCCTGTCCATCGTGTGGTCGGACGCGTTGTCATGACAAAACCGGCACGTGAACAGCTGCCCGCAACATGCAACTTTCAGCTTGCAGTTTCTGCGATAATGCTCACACCCATATATCCGGTTGGCCTCGTCATGGTAAGAACGACTCCGACCTACAGCAGCCCAATTGATGGGATCTTCATCCTGCGGCTCTCCTCCAAACGTCTCTCGATGGACCGTCACCATTCGGCTCTGCGGCATTTTCTGCTGCGCCACAATCCATCGGCTTGTCATCAGGTTCTGAACAAGGTACGCCTTTCGCTGGGGCTCGAGGTTATTATCACTGTACACATTTCGTATAGCTAACTCCAACTCTTTTTGATTCATTCTAAAGATCTGCTCCCATCCAGGGCTGAACGCATCCCCCTCACCATACTCCATCTCCTCCTCTGTGTCCTCCTCTTCCCCCTCTACCTCACCCTCCTCCTTCATATACACCACCTCTCCCTCCCCCTGCCGTTGTTGCCGTTCCACCGCCACCACGGAAGCCGATCCATCTTCCATTGGACGACTTCGATCATTGATGGAATGGTTATCCCCTATCAACTCCTCATCCGCCCTTTTGCCCGGAAGCAACACCTGTTCATTCTGCAGTGACTGTGCATCACCCAGCTGCTGATCAACGCGGCTGGTTGTCTCTTGACCTGTTCTGGACTGACACTCCACTACTGCCCCTCTCCTCTTTTTCGCCTTCCCCTTCCCTCCATCCTTTTTTCTCTTCGAGCCCGTCAGATACCTTGCCACGACTGCCAAGGAATCCACACATCCCACAGGAGGACCGGCACCTTTAGGAGGCGGCAGCGGTGTGAATGCGGGCTGTGGAGTGGACAGATGGGGAGAGTCTGACCTTTCCCCCTCGTCTTTCCACCATGCACGCAGCCACTCGCTAAACATGGTGTTACGTGTTGCCTGACGGAAGAACGACATCATTTCGTCGTGCTCCTGCTCTGTCAGTGCTGTTGTCACCCATGGTAGCATCACTTGCAGGACTTCAGCGCCGGTGGAGCCGATGATTCTCCCCACAATTTTATCCTGCTCTTCCTCGCTGAAATGGAGGGAAAACAGAGGCCACAGCTCAACCTCCTCGCTGCTGATGTGCGTATCGAGACTTATCCGCACAGATTTGCACATGCCTTGAGCGCGTGCTGCGAGAGCCTGGTGCTTGGCGATGTAGTACTCTCTCTCAGGAAGACCCTCGATTGTTGTTTCCATACCCTCGTCGCCTCCCATTTCCTTCCTCTTCTCGTACTCCTTCCTGGCTGCCATGACACGCAAAAGCTCCTCCAGCACCTGCGCAATATCTTTGAACAGCTGTTCTTCTTGCCGATGATCGAGTATGTACGAGTGGCTGACATTGTGCAGAGCCTCCTTCGCCTCCAGCGCAGGGAAAACGATCTGATCTTCTGCGTTGCTGTGGGCACGGTAGAGCCCCCACAGAAAGTGAAATCGGCCGCTGAAGATTCGCAATGCCTCGTCATCACAGTCCACCAGTTTCGTTGACGCGTAGTCAAGATGCTCCAGGTCCCTTCTGATAGCTTTGTGAAACTGGAAGATGTGGTCAATCGGCTTTTTTGGATACTTCATTCGAACCTCCTTTCTTCGGTGGACCCTGTCCTTCAAAACCCCTCTTCCTGTGGTCCGGCGAGAGTGCCCGACCCCCATCACATCCTCATCGAAACGTTTGGACAAGCATCCTCTTCCAACACTTCTTTCCTGAGCATCCATGTCACATGCAGATGCAGCGGTCCCCGCATCTGTCATCCTCGCAGCACCACTGCTGTTTCCAACCTTCAGTTCTTTACTCGTCAAGTCCACTTTCAAGCCCCCGTCCATTTCAACAGCCGCTCCTCCCACTCCTTGAGACGCAGTGTCAGCTGCCAGGTGGGGACCACCGGTTCTCTGAGACTCCCCCTCGGTTGCACCTAGCCTTGGTATGGCAACTAGCAACGCACTCAAGTCTGGGCCTTCAACTCCTTCCAGCACTCGGCACTGCCGTTTCGATGGCCTTTCACTGTCAAGTGAGGCGTCTCTCTGCGTGCGGCCACTGCTTAAAGAAGAAGGAGGAGCCCCTGTGACACCTCCAGTCCATTGAAAGGCCGTTTGCGCGTGGCCACTGCTTAAAGAAGAAGGAGGAGCCCCTGTGACACCTCCAGTCCGTTGAAAGGCTTGCCCACCGCGCTCCTCGCTGCCGGAGGTCAGAGCATGGTCCTTGATGACATGTCCCAGCAGAGGGGAATTGGACGCATTGCCCGAAGGCGGCGAACCAGGACACGAACGGGATCGTCCTCGGGATGCCCAGCCGGAGAACAACTCCACGAGTGCGGAATCGATCTCAGGAGCCGCGAGCTGCATATTCCTCAGCATATCGGAAGCTTCCTCATCCGACAGAAGGGCCACAACCCACGGCAGCACTCGCTCAAGAAGCCGCAGAGGCATCGCACGCAGCGACTGGTACATAATCTCCCTCTGTTCCTCCATGGAGAAGTGCTCGCACACAAGGGGAAGCACCAGAGACTCTTCCTTGATAAAATGCTGGCAGACTTTCGTAACAATCGCTTCTGCTTGCAAAGACAGCTCCTTCACCATCCGCTGGGCCACGTCTTCCTCAGTGCAGCTATTTTTAGATTCCATCTGCATTCCGGCGATCAGGCGGCCGACATCCGTCAGCAACCTCTCCTCGTTTGCATGGTCCTCTGTGTAGGTCACTGGCAGTTTCACCTTCTTTCCCACTGCAGGAAACACCACCTCTTCCTCCGCCGTGGTGTGAAAGAAGCACACATCAGCCAGGAAGCGAAACCTCTCATTCAAAGCAGAAAGTGCTGTTTCACACACAGCCCCAGACAGCTGCATAGTCTTCGCCTCCTCTGCGAACCGTTCCAGCTCCACTCTCAAGGCATTGTGAAAATGGATCATCTCATTTATAGGGAAACGGATGGTGGTCGTCTTGCCACCACTCTCTTCACCCTTGTAATCTGTTCTGCCACCATCCTCTCCTCCTTTCGCACAGTCCATTGCTTCCTCGGCACCATCATTCAACTGATCCTCTCCTCCTCCTTTCTTCGCACAGTCTGCTGCTACCTCGCCTGTTCTGTAGTTGACCTGCTCGTCGACGTTCCCAGAGTCCCACCTCGCAGCAGCAGCAGTTCCAACACCAAGTGTCTGAACCCTTTGGTTCTCCATCGAAGGACCGGCAGCCTTCCCCCTCTCTGCACTATCATCTCTCCCACCACCATCGGTCACTAAGTACCGGTGGTTTCCACCATCGCCATCCTTCTGCTTTCCACCATCGCCATCCTTCTGCTTTCTCCCATCACCATCATCCTCCAATTTCTGGTTCTCACGACCATACAAGTTCAGGATCTGGTTTCCACCATCGTCCAATCTCTGGTCTCTACCATGATTGACATTGAATTTCTCGTTTCCGTTCCCAGTGTCTGCTCCTGCTCCCTCAGTTGATCGGCTTTCCTGGCTCCAGGTCCCACCAGAGTCCGAGGCAGTGCCAAGAACTGCCTGAGCCCTTGGGCCGTCATCCTCCATCAAGGCAATGGCCTCACGGCTGGCAGCAGAGCAGGAGGAGATCATCACTCTCTTCCCATCCCCTCCTCTTTGCTGCGGTACCATTGGTGTATCATCATCGGCAATGGGCAGGCATTGCGACTCTCTAATCTCACACTTCACACCACACTGTGCCGTGCCTGCTTCTGCTGTTGCAGTATCCAAGTCCCCCCCCGTCCTCCACCCACAGCACGACACTGGCGATGGCGATGGCGATGGTGATGGAGACGGCGATGGAGATAGCGATGGAGATGGCGATGGAGATGGCGATGGCGATGGAGATGGAGATGGAGATGGAGGTGGAGGTAAAACTGTGGTGTTGATGTCTTCTTCTTTGCTCGTCAGCTCCTTCCATCTGATTGCTAAGTCTGGCGGAGTGCCCCTACGCATCATCCAGGTAGAAACCACCTGCTGCAGCAGCTCCTCCTGTGGAGGTATCATATCACGCATATGGGCGACCATCTCCTGGCGCTCCTCCCACGTCAGACAGCCTGCCACCCAGGGAATTACTTCTTCCAGCAAGCTCACAGGTATACAGCACATGAACTGCCAAACGAGGTCGGCCTGCTCATCGAAACTCAAGTGCTCCATCAGAAGGGGCAAGACCTGCTCCTCCTCCTTGTAGAGATGCTGATGCAGAGATCGTTTAAGTCCCTCCACTGTGCAGGCAATCTCCCTGAGCAGCGCTGCCCGCTCTTCTCCCCTCTTGAGAATCACAGACTCGAGCAGATTCACAAGAGTCTGGAACAGAAAGCTAGCCGCCTCATGCTCCAAGGCGTATGCAAAAGCCACGTTCTTCACTCTCAGGTCCAGAGCCGGCAAAATGACTTCGTCTTCCGCATTGCTGTGGTATTTGTAGACGGAATACAAGAACTGGTGGCGATGGCGCAGCTTGGCTATGTCTTCGTCTCGTCCTTCGCCTTTGCCCAAGGCTATGGCCGCCTCGTGGAGTCGATCAACCTCTTGCCGGATGGCTTCATGAAGATGAAACAATTGTCGAATGGGAGAGGAGGTGCTGCAGCGCCCAGGCATCCCGCTAAGAGACCGAGGGGTCGATGATGATGATGCCGCAGCTGCCGTTCTTCGAATAGGTGCCAGGGCGGCCATGGCCAGCGCCACACAGGGATGACACGTGTCACGCGCTCGTCGAATCTTCACCCACCCACAGAGGGCTTTGGCGCTCCACGTGGCAGCAGGAGAGACACGAGTGAAGCAAGCGCCAGGAGACAGACAACAACAAACGGGTGCTCGCTCCGCGCGCACACGCCCGCACCCGCACACGCCCCCACCTCTTCTTCCGCGCAGTGTTCGTCGGCCACGTGTCTCGCTCGCCACATCCAATCCACCAGCCTGCACGGGTCCTGCATTCACAGAGAGAGAGAGAGAGAGAGAATCGAGCAAGCAAGCAAACACGCAATCACTCAATCAATCACTATAGCGCCCCCAGCCTGTCCTCATCCTCAGTAACAAAAAGGCACTTAGCGAATCACTGCGTCCGACCTCGCAGAGAACATCCAGACACACACACGAACGCAATCAATCAAGCAACCAATCAAGCAATCAATCAAACAGTCAATCAAACAGTCAATCAAACAATCAAACAAGCAATCAAACAATCAATCAATCAACCAACCAGAAATCAATCAAGCAATCAGTCAAGCAATCAATCAATCAACCAACCAATCGAGCAATCAATCAAGCAATCAATCAATCAACCAACCAATCGAGCAATCAAATCACGCGATCGATCAAGCAATCGATCAAGGGATCATCTTAATATGGCGACCACTCCTGGTCGGACACCCAGTGTCGTCCGAGAACACCGATCAATCAATCACACGGAGATGAAAGAAGCAGCCGATCACTCCCGTCTCTACACCCTCCCTCCCTACGAGTGTTGTCGTTCTAACACATACTCAATCTTTGCCACGCTTGCAAACAACGACACCATGAGTCCATGACCAACAACCATTTCCCACCTTCTTCCCCTATCTTTCCCCCCTTCTTCACAAACCCTCGAAGCAGCATCCAGACACCCAAAATAACGCAACCAATCAATCCATCCATCCATCCATCCATCAATCAATCAATCAATCAATCAACCAACCAACCAAACAAACAAACAAACAAACAAACAAACAAACAAGCATGCAATCAATCAAGGGCTCACCTTATTACTATGTCGAGCGCTCCCGGTTTAACATCTGCCGTCTGAGAAAGCCGATCAATCAAGCGAGCAGAGAGGAACAAAGCAGCCGATCACTCCCCATCCTTACACACCTGCCTTCTTGGGCACGCCCGCAAACACCGACGCCATGACCAACAACTGCTTCTCACATTTTCCCCCCTACCTTCCTTCCTCTCTCTCGCTCTT